GACGGCGGCAGACCAAATGGAAAGTTGGGTCCATTGAATCCAGCCAATTCGTCGTTGTATGAGTTTTTGGAGAAATTCTTTAAAGAAATCGTCGGAAGATTTCATGACAATTACATTCACCTTGGCGGCAATGAGGTTGACTATGAGTGCTGGTGAGTTCTGTTGATTTTACATAAGAGTAAATATAGAATCAATTTTATGGCATCGCCATATTTTCATTTCAAACTGAAGGCATACTTTTATCTGTCTCAGATTAACAGGCGCTGAACTAGTCTCATTTAAACAATTTTCTCATCGATTCATTTGCATTTCAATAATTATTCCTTGGGAGCAACAGGAAGAACAACTCTCGATTTAAGCACTAGGAAGTGACATGGATGGTATTTTCAATGAGACTCCACCGCATTTGAGTTGCCAATTTGTTGATTCACAAGTAATATGAAAACAAACACCACTTATAGTGTTGCCGTGACGTCATTTTGAAGTTTGTGCTGAAGATGTCTAATAACTTGCATCAAAAACTGTGTGTACAGGAAACAGTGTACAACAACATTCGACCGTTTCTAAACCTGACTAACTGATTTAGCAAAATATTATTTTGTATTAAAGTGTCCATTTATCTGATATTACCAGTGGATTGCAAGACATTTATTGCAATCAAACATGGTAGCTACATACCGCCAGTGAAATATAATCTCACATTATTCCTCTTCTGGATGGTTAACATAAACGAATGAAGACAACTGTCCATAAGGCACGACTATTTCTTCTTCTTTTTCTTCTTCAGTAGAACACTGAATATTACAGCACCCACCTATCTCATTCTTTTCTTTCCATTGAGTGGAATAGAAAATCCTCATCAACAATCTCTGATCAAGTTGTATTTTAACAATTAATTCATGTAGATTAACGGGAGACTTCATATTGCTGCTCCTTATTTGTAGGCAGTTTAAATTGAATCATCGACAAGAACATGGAACAAATTTATTTATTGTCTTCCTGTTCATTTTAGGCGGTCGAATCCGGAAATAATTGAATTCATGGAAGAAATGGAATTCGGTGAGGATTATTACCAGTTACATAAATATCACTTTGTGAAACTTATTGAGATTGTTAAGAACATGACGAAAGACCCTAAATTACCGATCACTCCAATTGTGTACCAGGAGAGTTATCGTGATGAATGTGAAGTAAGTTTTGGAAAATATGCTTGTAATTAGATCACTACACTCGATATTCAGTGATGATTATCTGTATCCCACTGACAAACATTATCAGTCCTTTTTACTTGACGATAAGGAGTAATGTTGTGATTCAGTCATATATTTTGAAGAATACTTCAAAGACAGATTATTGCAAGCATTTATTTTCAAGTTATTTTAGTTCACGTCTAAAACGTTTGTTCCATGTTGGCTGAGATAGAGATAAAATAATCCATCTATCTCATCACCATCAGGGAAACAGATCTAGGTCGCCGAATGCTGCGTTTGGGTGTTACTTCATGTAAGGTCATAGGAGAATATTTTCTCTTATTACTTGTCGAGTGGAGTCTGTCATTCTGAGTGTGGCTAAGCTCTCTCACTCTCACAACCCAGTCGACCTAAATACAGCAGAATAATCCCTGTGCTTGATCGTGAAGTCATCTGGTTGTATTTGATCAATGAAGTTATTTCATGTGATTATTCAATTTGGACAGGACACAGGATTTCACTTCGTTAATGGAAATTTTCGTTCTCTATATTTCTGTGGTGAGTGTCTGTTGACACATGGGATTCCAGAACAGACATCCTGGCTTTTGTCTTTGTTCCCAGTTCCAGTGGTAAACTTGTCGTTCAGTAGAGTGATCATACCACTAGTTGATGAGTCTTGAACAGAAAGAAACTTGTATCTACATTTTCACTGTTAACAAACATGAACAGAATCAAATCAACATTTATTTAGTTCAATTTAAGGTCGCTAATCATCTTGAAAATTTACTTGATGATTAAAGAACAGAGGTGATTTAGTTTTATTCTTCGGTTGAATAAATCTAACGTGTTGCATATTTTGTCCATGTCAAATGTCTGACAAACCTCTGAAAAGATGCATCAGAAAATTTGAGATCTCAGGTTAAATAACTTCATACAGTCAACCTGTAAACGAAATGCTTCATCCATTCGATAATGCGCCATCCCGAATTTCCAGAATAACAATCAACCGATAATTCCTTTCAAATTAATCTTAATAGTTATATCAGTTTGATGTTCATACCACTAACTTTACAAATGTTTCATTCGGTTTAACAGATTGACCATAGAACAATCATTCATGTCTGGAAAACTGTAGATTGGCAAAAATACGTCTACAATGCCACTCGAGACGGATATAATGTTATAGTTTCTGGTACATGGAATCTCAATGACATACAAAATGATCTTGATTGGATGAGATATTACGCACAGAATATCAGAGATTTCGGAGGTGAGTTAATTTTCGCGTAGTCTGAAACAAATACTTCTTTGAACCAAATTTATGTGTTGACGACATTTATCTGGGTGTGTTGCAAGTTTCGCTTCGCCTGTGTTATGCAACAGTTTTGAAATGAACACGGATTCACAATGATTGCAGAGAGTGCGATGCTGTTTCTTGAGTCACAAGTGTGAGTCGTTTGACTTTGTACAGTATGTCGGCATATTAACAGCAAAATGTATATATACATATATAATGGAAGTCAATGGGACATTCACATTGAACTCAGGAGTCTGTCATTAAGGAATTGTGTAATATTCGGGATTTGTAGATCTAGTTGTGGATTTTGTTTTCTTTGTTCTTTTCATTTTCTGAGATGAATGGTTTCACTGCGAATTCATAAATGCTGAACAAGCGCATCTCCCAAAGCAAACATTCACTGAAGAATCTTGACCTAATGAAGTAGATTTGAGTCTCGACATCGGATTCGTTGTAACGATAAACATTAATGTCTGTTTCGCTGTCACTAAACATCTACATTCGGCAAAACACACGTGACAATGTTGTGCATGGAAAGGAAAATGTTGTAAATTTTACAGTGTTGCATCATTTCACCCAGAAGTGAACCAACATCAATGCCACTGATGATCTGACTCGCTATTCACTTTTCAGATTGCGTTGATCCTGCTTTTATGAATGTAATTTTTGTGGAACATTTTGATGCAATTTTTGTTACTCCTATTCAGACATGCAACTCATTTCATCCTTACGACAATACATATCCTGTTTAGATCTTTTCTGTAGTTTGAAAGGAATTCGATGGTACCTTGATTACAGAGTTAGAATAGTTTCTTCCTCGGACAGCATTAATTAAGTAATTAGGAGGCAGATTCATTTTTCATTACATTGCAAACATATTCTAACTTCTATTTAGACTGGTAAAAGTTTGATGACAGACATTAAGTGTGGCATGTTGTGCATAAGATGACATTCCACTGAGTAGCATATCTAAAGACATACTGTTCCACGATGTGATCAAATTATTCCATGCGATAATCTGATGTGACGAAAGAATTCATCTGTTACTCGATAAAACTAATGCTATCGTAGTGCGCTGATGGACATCACCAGTGACGTGTGAAAATACGAGCTGAGCTGTTTCGGTAGGGTTGATTAATATACGACTGACTCATTAGTGTATATATTTATAGACTACAGTGAACATACACCAGTTCATTCTAAGGGAACTGAATAATTAAATCTATCGATGGTCCTGCTTCTTCGAAATCGTTGGACAACAGGGCATCCTAATAATTTGGGCATCCTCAGAATACATTTAAAACAAGAATAATAGAAGTGGACAATTTCAGTTTCAGTAAATGTCTCAGCCTCTTCGGTTACAAATCCATTCCTGTTGGTAAATAATTTTCATTGAAGGCAATTGAGAATTATATCAGAAAGTGTATCATGACAGAAGTATGAGGTGATATAATAGTCATTGCGTTTTGATTATCATTTGACATGTGTATGATCAATAGGGACATGAGACAACATGAAATTGATTCGCTTAGTGTTATCTTTGTGTATATATAATCAAGAAAACAGTATCTGTTTCAAGGGATGTGTTTAGTCAGGAGTGTGACATACAAATTGGGTATCACTGAAGAATAAGCACGCAGATACAAATACGCTATACTTAAGTTCAAAGGTGACAGATAAGAATGATAAGTAAAAAGTCATATCACTGGTGTAGTGGGAATACAAATGTGCTATTTATGGACCGTTATCGAGTAATGAAGAATTTAATAAAGTGGAATGAAACGCGTCGTGTAAATAAAACAACGAATCTGAAGAACATAACGTGAACCTTGGTCAATTGACATAATACAAAAGATCATGAAACTGTAGAAAGTTGCCAATGAAACGGAGAACAGAAAAAATGGAATTGGGATTTCAAGTGTTAATTTTCAACATAAATGGAGGAGGTTGAGGTGAATAAAGAGGCTGCGCACGCCTCATCCAGATATGGAAACTGGGTCATCTTGTATTGACTGACAGAAAACCCAGTTGGACTCTATTACATACGTCTCCAAGGACATCGGAGATCATCGAGAATGCCTTCTCCGGACAGGTTGCTAAGATTACACTATTCAAACATATTTAGCCCCATTATACAAAGGTAGAATTACACTTTTGTGCTCACCTGGATGAAGATCACTGAGTATGCCCTATGCAATAGGAGACATTCCAACTTTTAATTTGCAGACGCACATTATTGAGGCCATCGTTAGCAATTTATCCTTGACCCGCTATGTGAGTAGCTCTTTAGTTTGGAAAGAAGCCCTGGTTAAGCTGCAGGAAATCTGCGTTATATTTTGAGTGTTGAACAGTAGTTAACAGAAATTTTCAATTAGTCAAGGCAGTTGACCTGCAAAACTATCTGTCGCATTCATCAGCAAAATGTGCGGACTTGACTTTCTGAAATCCAGTAGATTTTTCTCACTGAGTTCATCGGTTCCCCGAGCAAATAACACTTTTCATTTTGTTTACAGGCTCATTTACGCAAACATACTCAGTCATTGGAGGTGAAGCTACACTGTGGAGCACACGTGTGGATGCGACGAATATAATGTCACTAGCGTGGTGAGTACTCTTCACTAAGTCTTCCCACTATTCTCACCAAAATCATTGTTTGGTAGGTATCTCAATTGTGAATCAAAATGTTGTTTAGGACAGGAAATTTCAAAATGTTTCGGTGATGATTTTCAGTCAAAATCGAAACCCATTAACACAACTGTGAGTTCAGATGTCGACATGTTGGAAATAGGATGATGACTTCATCTAAAGCTCACTGTTGGTCAACATCAAAAGAATATCATAAGTGTGAGTGGTAGTGATTCGTTGGGCTCCTTTAACTATACACCCAGTATCAACAGACAATATACCTACATGTGAACCGTTGAAAAATGAAGTTCAACTTCGACTTGAATTCGCTTTCTTCGAATTGCCATATGGAATCATAATGACTAAATTTCTAGACTGTGGGATTTTGTTCCCGTTAAAGTTGCATTTCCCTATCTATGAAAGACACCTTTGACGAGAAATCGAGTGACACGTTTGTTCATTCCATGAAACGTCAGGACATATGATTCACAGATGAGAATTTTCTAGCTAATTAATTTGCTAAAATTACATTCAATGCATTACCGACCTACATTGAATGAGTTAAGACAAAACGCTATTGTGATGTGTTTCAGTTCACCTCGCTGACCACAGTTCTCTGTGTTTCTTCTCATTATTTTGATATATATGTAGGCCTAGAGGTGCTGCTACAGCTGAACGACTTTGGACGAAACGCCCTGACAGTATAGACGAATTCGGAAAGAGATTGGACGAGCTTCGATGCAGAATGCGCCAGTGAGTTTCCCTCTACTTACAGTCATGCATATTCTGGTTAAATATTGTGGTTCTGTAGCCATTTGATGCAACTATGAATGGGACACCGTGATATAGTTATGTCAGTAATCTCCTTACCTAGACATTCGGTGTCATCAAGTAAGGTGCTAGCGAATTATTCCGTGACATACTACTTGACGAATTGATAACTGATCATATCTAAAATTCCCAAACATGAATGTTATCAGAGATGGTAGGCATGTCGTGGTTAAGAGAGGACACTAAGAACTCTGAACACTCGACATAAATACTTTACATTTGGAGTGTGAAATGAAATATTGTGAATGAATGTGTAGTGTGTGGATACTCTCACTTGTCACGATCTCTGAATCTTTTAATAATACCTTGTTTTCTGTGCACAGAACAGTAGAGACAGTCATCACATAATGTTCAATTACGTTATTGCTGAACAATTATGTTAATCGTCACCTGGTCCTAATCGCCACAATGTACAGGAAGTTACTTTTAACTGTTTCTAGCACAGAAACTGATTTGACTGATTTGATTTATTTCAAATAGTATCAGTACAAACAGGGATAGTTTAGCAGTTCAACTATCCCCACTTCTGATTCAGCCAAAGGTATATTTTTCAATGACATACTTAATCTGCACACAACAATGGCATTTACAGGAAAAGATCCTGGTGTCTGCGATTTCCTAAACATCATGGGGTTGGTTATTCACTTCTGAAGTGCTACAGAACAGTGCATTTAACACGGAATTTTAAGTAGAGCAGTGATACATCTAAAGTGGTCAGCGAAATTGTGCAGTTCATTGACTAACAATCGTTTTAGTTCAGCAAGAAATAGTCCTTTTGCAAATGTTGAAGGAGAATATACAAATGACGCGTCATTACTGACTCCATCGCTTTCCTAATTTCTGTCATTCAACGTGTGAAACAACACTGCCGACAATAACTTTATATATGTAGCTGACAGCAGACTTTTCTTTATTTATTTAACATTTGATTTCAGGAACGGCATACCAGCTCACCCTGTTCTTGGTCCTGGTTTCTGTCCATTTTAACGTGAACAATTTGCGGAATTCTACTGAAGATTGTAATTTACTTAATTTTGTTTGATATCTGAATGATTTCTATGTAGAATGAATTTCCAATAGACTTCTGATATCCAGTGAAATGCATTGTTGTTTGAGGAATATACTCGCTGTCTGTCTAGAAATACGCTTTCTCAGGTGTTCCGCCCAACACACTCTGAATTTTATCTCAATGCAGAATCTTATTAAAGTAATTCTGATGTTTGTGAGACGAGAGCAGTTGTTCTTTGATAATTAGTCCGTATGGCCGCTTAAAATTATTCAGGTGTAATTCCATCACTGTATATATTTCAGGTCGCCTAACTTCGCTTCACAGACGTGAAGTGACTTTCCCTTAAATACAAAGTGCGTGCTTATTTTTTTCTATTCCTTCACGTTCCCAGTGGAACATAGGGCTTCAAGATACAGCTCTGAAGTTGATGTTTTATTCTACAGGGTGGGGTCGTTAACCTCATGCCCAACCTTCTTTCTTTACCAGCTTCATTACTGGCTTAGTTAGGTAAAGGAGTGCGCCGGCCGATGATCGAACCCCGGACCATGTGCACGGTCGGCAAGCGTCCTAACCGCTGTGCCACCGACGCACACGCGAGCTTATTAATTGGTTATTAAACACAGCCGGCAAGATACAAGATGATTTTCATCCCTCGGATTATACTTCCAACTAATACAAAGCGTTCTTACCGACACTTGCTATTCTCATGAATATATCACACAAGAGTCTTGCGACTGTATCATCAGGTAGTGAATTTCGAGTCCCATGAGTGCATACAATATTCGCAAAGAACTGTTTGAATGAAAAGCATTCGTTAGTCTTTTCGTTTCACCACTTCAGGTAAACATGAAAAATAATTAATTTTAATTAATTAAAATGCAGTGGAGTTTTTGCTTACTGAAGCTATCTGGGCAAACATGACTCGACAGACCGTCACTTTGAATTTGAATGATGTTGGAAAACGAAACGGTGGTCTAATCCGCATGAGTGTTTGAGGCATTTCGCCATGCTTTACAAGCTGAATAACAATAACCACTAAAGATTGTCGAAAATGTACTCAGTTTTCTTTCGACTTTATCGATATTGTAAATTACGAAATATGTAATTGGCGATTCACAAATTAATTCGCAAATTGTAATACCTGTTTGCCAAAGTCGATAGCCAGGATACGGGTGTTTACAGCTGATTTAACTGTATGAGCTTATAAGAATCCTGGTACACCGCAGATAAACTTAGCCTCAAACAAGAGGAATGACTCGAAGGTGCATACATCACTTTGGTCCGCCTAATTACCAAACACTTGTAAGAAATTTGATTGGAATTTGATTGAGCGGCAACCATTGAAAACTATGAAATTTATGCTGAACAATGTTTCATTCATGATGATACACACCAATTATCACTTGAAAGCTGTTTCGTGAATTGACGCGATTAGTCAGGGCTGAGTTGACATTATACTGAAATATGTTAAACGAACTGCTTAACATTTTGCCGACAAACAGAAGACTTATCCTTTATCCTCAAAGCCTCAACACTTTACTTCAAGTGGCATGTATCACTTAGTTGGCAGGCATTTCCACCATACAGTAGGTGACTGTATGGAACTGACTACGTGTTTTTGATAATTTGAAATGAAATTGTAAACTTTTCACTGACAAATTCGTTTCAGAATTGTTGGTACCAAAGTAAATATTGCTACTGCGGACAACATGTTCGTTTCCCATGAGATAAAGCAACTTAGAAGTGTCAGAGTAATAATTTCCATTGTTTGAATAATTCCGAGGTGAAGAGCACAAACACAAAGTAATATGAAAACCTGGGAGTACTGGACAGCTTTTTAGCCCTAGTTTGGGACTCTTCAGCAGTACACACCCACCGCCGAGGTTCGAACCCAGGATTGGCTGGCATCATCATGAAATCCTACAACAAATCAAACAGAATTCATTACGAAACCAATACTTGAAAATTAATCTGATGCTCACTAGCAACTGGCAGTTGATCTGAAGTCGTGAGTGGTAGGATGCAGCAGGTTGAAGGTGATGTAGTAACTCATAGAACAAGACATTGTGGAGTGTTCGTGCTATGTCATGAATTGGCAGAAGTTATAATTCACGGGCTGGCTGGCCACTGGATCGGGTTCCAGTGACGTCATTGTGCACGAGCTCGCTAGCCCTGTAACCAGAAGGTCCTTGGTTAGAACCCTATCAGTGGGTGCTTACTGATGCAGAGTTCCGAATTAGGCTGACGAAACAGCTGTCCAGTACTTCCCATTGTCTTCCATTGGTTCTCTAACTGATGTCAGCTCATCATAAAATCGTTCAATCAATCACAGTAAAATCCCTGCGAAATCAATACTTGATAATTTGAAAACATTCAATACAAATTCACTGTAGCCAAACACCAATTAACACTTCATTAAATGTTGTTTGCTTCAATCTAATTGGCTTCAAAAAGTTGAAAGTCGGCAAAATCTCCACTAGATGAAGTGCCTAAAATCTTTATCGGTTTGACTCACTGTTGAACATTTAACATAAATAAAGTCTTGCACGTTTAATGAATCACTGATATTCGAGTGGACTATGTGGAGACATTCATATCTCTATGCAGAACAGTAATAGTGGAAACAGGCCTACTGATCAGGAAACGTTTTATAATTGGACACCAATCCATCCATTTCTCTTGTCACTTCATATAATGCTCTCTTTTAAATCCTATGTCGTTGTTTCACTTAGAAAATGTACTTGTGGAAGGAAAATTGCATAACTTCATTTCCAAATGAATTACGCTTTGCTTTCATCGTACATATAAGTCTAAATGTCACACAACATATATGCCTGTATAAATAATGGACGTGCAAATAACCCTCACTTCATGTGCAATATTGTTGGAATCTGGAAACTGGCGCCTTTCATGCAAAATGTTTAGCGGTTATCATGGCTGCCTTCCAAGCAGTCGATCCGGGTTCGACTACCGGCGGTCGCAAGAGATTTGTGCGTCGCTGGAATAGCGGTTAGGACGCTCGCCGACCATACACATGGTTCGGGGTTCGATCCCCGGCCGACGCACTCCTTTACCTCACTAAGCCAGAAATAATGCTGGTGAAGAGGAAAGGTTGGGCATGAGGCTAGCAACCCCATCCTGTAAAATAATAAACACTGCTACAGAAACTTCAAGCCACTAGCCTGAAGCCCTATGTTCCACTGGGGAACGTGAAGGAAAAAAAAATTCGTCTTCTTCAAGTGGAAGGACCGAGTGTATTTATCAATTAGGCGATCGATAAGTGACTGAGCAGTGTTGTATTTCCCTACTGAGTCAGTTGATTTACACTAAAGGAAGAATAAAGTGGAATCTCTTTCTCACATTTCTGCCTATCGAGTCAACTTGATTTCAGTTATTCAAGTTCTCTGCTACAGTTTAATGAGAAATTAAGGTGACTAAAAATTACAAGTAATTTCAGTTGAACAGCAACTTTTGTGAAACATGATTAATATGAACATAAGTCAAGGAACAAATGTTAAAATTGTTATTATGCGCTTTAGACGTTGGGAATGACCAGCATCGATCGGATCTGGTTGAAGGTTTCTGTAGAGACGAATTCCCTTCAGTATTGTGTCAGCTACTGTGCTTATGCGCCTCGCTACTGACACAAGGAATGACTGTCCATCAGTCTGGGCGTGCACTGTTCAAATGCCGTCTGTCGACCAGTCTCTCAACACTGATTTCTCCTAGTATAGAACATTTTTCCAACGAGTTCCTCCTGTCAGAGAGACGAATGGTGAGAGTGCTAGTACAAGTGTTCTCAGTTGAGGATGAGGAGTTTCTATTGAATACTGAATGCAGTGTAACTTCCGTCTCGATTTTACAACCTGCAAAGTGAATTCACAGCTTCAATGAGATTTAAGCTAACTCATTC